GAACCAGCCCTGCATCTGAGGAATGAAGCCTACTTGATCATAATGGATAATTTTTCGGATGTGTTCTTGGATTCGATTTGCCAGTATTTTGTTGAGGATTTTTGCGTTGATATTCATGAGTGAGATTGGCCTGTAGTTCTCTTTCCTGGGTGAGTCTTTGAGTGGTTTTGGTGTCAGAGTAATTGTGGCTTCATAAAAGGAATTTGGTAATGACCCTTCTGATTCTATATTGTGGAATACATTAAGGAGTATAGGTATTAGGTCTTCTTGGAAGTTCTGGTAGAATTCTGCATTGAAACCATCTGGTCCTGGGCTTTTTTTGGTAGGGAGGTTTTTGATAACAGCTTCTAATTCTTCGCGACTTACAGGTCTGTTTAGATTGTTCACCTGGTCCTGGTTTAGTTTTGGTAAATGGTATTTATCTAAAAAAGCGTCCATTTCTTTTACATTTTCCAGTTTTGTGGCATATAGGCTTTTGTAGTAAGATCTAATGACTCTCTGAATTTCCTCTGTGTCTCTGGTTATGTCCCCCTTTTCATTTCTGATCTTATTAATTTGCGTGTTCTCTCTCTTTCGTTTGATTAGTTTGGATAGGGGTTTATCTATCTTGTTGATTTTCTCCAGGAACCAGCTTTTTGTTTCATTGATTCTTTGGATTGTTTTCTGTGTTTCTATTTTGTTGATTTCAGCCCTCAGTTTGATTATTTCCAGTCTTCTTCTCCTCCTAGGTGAGTCTGCTTCTTTTTTTTCTAGATCTTTCAAGTGGGCTGTTAAGTCTCCAATATGTGCTTTCTCTGTTTTCTTTAGGTGGGCACTTAGTGCTATGAACTTTCCTCTCAGGACTGCTTTCATAGTGTCCCATAAGTTCGAGTATGTTGTTTCTTTATTTTCATTGAATTCAAGGAAGACTTTAATTTCTTTCTTTATTTCTTCCTTAATCCAGGTATGGTTCGGTAGATGACTGTTCAGTTTCCATGAGTTTGTAGGCTTTCTGGGGGTAGCATTGTTGTTGAATTCTAACTTTAATCCATGGTGATCTGATAAGACACAGGTGGTTACTAATATTTTTTTGTAACTGTGTAAGTTCGCTTTGTTACCAAGTATGTGGTCAATTTTCGAGAAGGTTCCATGAGCTGCAGAGAAGAAGGTATATTCTTTCCTCTTTGGGTGGAATAATCTATAGATGTCTGTTAAGTCCATTTGCTTCATTACCTCCATTAATTCTCTAATTTCTCTGTTAGGTTTCTGTCTGATTGACCTGTCCATTGGTGAGAGAGGAGTGTTGAAGTCTCCTACTATTAGTGTGTGCGGTTTGATGGCTGCCTTGAGTTTTAGTAATGTTTCTTTTACGTACGTGGGTGCTTTTATATTAGAGGCATAGATATTCAGGATTGAGACTTCTTCCTGATGAATTGTTCCTGTTATGAGTATAAAATGTCCCTCTCCTTCTCTTCTGATTGATTTAAGTTTGAAGTCAACTTTGTTAGAAATTAGTATGGCCACACCTGCTTGTTTCTTAGGTCCATTTGCTTGATAAGCCTTTTCCCAGCCCTTTACTCTGAGTAGGTGCCTGTCTTTGTGGTTGAGGTGTGTTTCTTGTAGACAGCAGAATGTTGGATCCTGTTTTCTTATGCAATCTCTTAGCCTGTGCCTTTTTATAGGTGAGTTGAGCCCATTGATATTAAGTGATATTAATGACCAGTGGTTGTTAACTCCGGTCACTTTTTAAGTAGTAGGGTTTGTATGTTTTCCTTCTTTGATTTGTGCTGGTGAAGAGTCTCTAGATGTCTGAGTTATTGTGGTCATTGTTGGACTCCTTGGTTAGTGATTTTCCTTCTATTATTTTCTGTAAGGCTGGATTTGTGGCTACGTATTGTTTAAATTTGTTTTTATCCTGGAAAATTTTGTTTTCTCCATTTATAGTGAATGAAAGTTTGGCTGGATATAGTAGTCTGGGCTTGCATCCGTGGTCTCTTCATTTTTGGAGAACATCTATCCAGGACCTTCTGGCTTTCATGGTTTCCATAGAGAAGTCAGGTGTAAGTCTGATAGGTTTACCTTTATAAGTAACTTGGCCTTTTTCCTTTGTGGCTCTTAATATTCTTTCTTTATTCTGTATATTTTGTGTTTTGATTATTATATGGCGAGGGGATGTTTTCTTTTGATCCAGCCTATTTGGTGTTCTGTATGCTTCTTGAACCTTCATAGGTACATCTGTCTTCAGGTTGGGAAAGTTTTCTTCTATAATTTTATTAAGTATATTTTCTGTACCATTGAGCTGCACTTCTTCTCCTTCTTCTACTCCAATTATTCTTAGGTTTGGTCTTTTTATTGTGTCCCATATTTCCTGAATGTTTTGTGATGAGAGTTTGTTGGACTTGCTGTTTTCTTTGATCAGAGTGTTTATTTTCTCTATGTTATCCTCAGAATCTGAGATTCTTTCTTCTATCTCTTGTATTCTGCTGGTTATACTTGATTCTGTAGTCTCTATTCGTTTACCTAGATTTTCCATGTCCAGTCGGCCCTCTGTTTGTGTTTTCTTTTTTGCCTCCATTTCAGTTTTCAAGTCATGAACTGTTTCCTTTATCTGCTTGATTGTTTTTCCTTGGTTTCCTAGGGTATCATTCACTGATTTACTCAATTCCTCGAACTTTCTATTATACTTCTCATCCATTTCCATAAGGGCGTTTTTTAGATGCTGTTTAAGGGTGTCAATCACTTTCATGAAGTCAGATTTTTCTACTTCTTCTTGATTAAGGTGTTCATGTCCTCCTGTTGTGGGGTCACTGGCTTCTGGTGGTTTCGTGTTGTTTGTCAGATTGTTGGGAGAATTCCTGCATTGGCGTCTGCCCATCTCTTCCTCCCAATACTCCCCTTTGGATCTTCTTTTATAGGATCAGGTCTTCTTGCCCACTGATGTACCTTCCCAGTGATGTCACTCCCCAGAGATGTTCCTCCACAATGATGTTTCACTCGGTGCCCAGAACGAAACTCCACGCTGCTTGGTTAGCTCGCGAACAAAGGGCCCTCCCTGCTAGCTGCGGGCAGGCTATGGGAACAAAGGAGCTACCGGCCACCCCTATGTCCTCCCGGTTCAGATTCGGTCCCAGCGCCCTAGCAGGCTGGGCAGGGAGGCGTTATGCCCCAAAGGAGGGAGGGAGACAGGGGGTGTGGGGATCTGGATGTAAGCTGAGTGGGATAGGAAGAGAGAGGGGGTTTAGGCAGTATAGCCCCTGTAGGATGTCCAGGAAGTGTGGGCGGATATTATAGTAGATTTATTTGTCTGTAATATCTGTTTCACAAAGCATAGTACTAGAAGCATAACAGTTATTAAACTGGCATTAAACATTGGTTTCTAAAACCCTTATTTAGGAAGCATTTACATCCCAGAAATAGTTACTATAGCAAAGAAATTTGCATTCTAAATTTTTTCTAGTACATGGTCTAAGAGTAAACATTTTCTGTATTCAAAGAATTGAATTTATGTTAGAGTTTGCATTTTATTGATATGCACTATGGATTAGATGCAGTCAGTTAAGCCTTTTTTGGGCCAATTGATGTACCATCTCCAATGTCAATCTGAGAAAATCCTATATAGTGTACTACATCCCTGGATTACCTTATCTAAGTATTGCATGGACATTTCAGATGATATGTTTTGGCATGTGGTCATTTTCATTAACTTATTAGGGATTGATAAAGCATCTCCCCCCTTTTGACACCTTGCCATAATTGAATATAAATTGATTATAAATCAGAATACCAGATATTCAAGCAATAGATTGATGGGGCTTCACCGGTCTCTCGCAGAAATGATGCTCATGTTGGATATTGTAGAAATAAATAAATAAAAACAGGAATAGAAGTTTTCTGCTTGGTGTAGGCTAATGGGAAAATCCCATCAGCATACTGGGTTTTATTTTCTCTCTTATTAAATGACATGGTAACTGATTCCAACCACATTAAATTGTAAAATTTGGAAGGAAAGGGGAAAGAATACAAACTGTGAAGTATTGCCATGTCTATTGTGTATGTTTTCTTTGTTGTTGTTGTTTGTTCATTTGTTTAAAGAGCAAAGTCATAATTATACCCCCCCACACACACACACTCAGTTTCTCTCAGAACTGAGCCATCTAGCTTCCGAAGTCTGCCCTATTTGAATTTTCCAAAAGGCTTAACTTTTCTCCTTCGTTCTTTTTCTGTACTGTTTACCCAAACACCTTGGACTTCCTTATTCTTTCTCTAAAGTTCTTTTCCCTGTCTTGTGATGGTCCTTGCAGGCTTACGTCAATGACATGGTTTTTCCTCTTCTCCACTCTCTTCCTCCAGTTAGCTAGCTGTTTGTTGTTACAGACTGCCCACCCTGGGATTTTTTCCTTTAAGCTCAAATACAGTCTTCTTCCAGCTTTAAAACAAAACAAAAGAATTTGCAAAATATATACCTTAAACTCATTTAGAGATAGTGGAAAACAATATTAGTTGCTCATAATTTTAGAGTTTAACATATTTGAGTAGTCTGTTTGAATGTAATATTTTTCTCAGTTTTATTTTACTTATTAGATTATATATAATATACATGGCATACTCTGAAAAGCAAATAATTTTGCTATTTTAAGCATAAGTGTGCTGTATAGATCACATATATTCATTTTTAAGAGAAATTGCTTTAGAGGGCATCTCTCTATACTTTATACTTATTGTACTCACTTATTTCATTATATTTTGTGCAACCAAAATATTGTAGCTATAAGCTATTTTGAGGATGTTTTTTTTTAACCCAAACCTTGTAAGAATCAAAGTGAGCATAATCTTAAGTAACAGAAGTGCAAAATAAGCCCAGAATTCTAGCTACCATAAATAAAAGACCAGAATTCTAACTTTGCAAAAACTCGTAATTACTAGCAGTGGGGAAGGGGACATGAGGACAGAAAAGTGAAAGTTAGTGATTTTGTTCATACTTACATACTCTCTTATTTTGTCTGAACTTTGTTTCTTTTCAGAGATAGAATTCTGTGAAACTCCTCCTGCTTTGTGCTCTGACTACCAGACAGACATGCATGGCGTTTCTCGGCATGGCTACCAGCTAGACATGGGATCTGATGTAGACACAGAGACAGAAGGTGCTGCATCACCCGACCATGCACTGCGAATGTGGATAAGAGGCATGAAGTCAGAACATAGTTCCTGTCTGTCAAGCAGGGCCAACTCTGCATTGTCCTTGACTGACACTGACCATGAAAGGAAGTCTGATGGGGAAAATGGTAAGAAAGCTACATCTGCAATTTAAATGAAATTCAGGAAGAATGGCTTTTCCCCCTTTGCTTTGTTATCACTTTCTATATCTGCCCATCTTTCATTTGGCATGCAGAATACAAATACATGTTATCAGGTTCCCAGGAACAAGGAGTATACTTAAATATCTGGCAAATAGACACATTTATTTATAACGACACAAAATAGTCTTCATTTCTATGGAACCCCTGGAGATATTATCTCATGTAGTCAGCAATATAGTGAATGTCTTATTCATTACTCACCTTTTATTTTCATTTTTATTTTCCAGAGCTACCCCAGTGGGATTTATTTTAGGAAGTACTCATTTCTTGTATTTGGGCTTTATATCAGTGTGTGAACAATGAGATGAACAATTATATAGCACACATACTCTCTGTAGGGGCTCTCTATTTTGATCCAAATTAACTTGCTGAGTTTATAAACAGATTCACATTAACCACATTAGAATGAAATCATTTCACAAACACAATTATTTTAAAAACATCAGTCATTTGCCAGACAATAACTACTAACGGCAATATCATTATATTGTAATTATATATGATTTCCTTATACAGTTTAGAAAATGAAATGGTTTTGCTTTTTGAGTTTTCAGGAAGGAGTTAACTTATTTAATGTATGCTCTTCTGCCTCTATCAAAAATAATTTCATAATAGACACATTAAACAATTATTAATCAAGTTAATCTAGTCTACCTATCATTTTCTTTGTCACAATATTATATGAGTTCCCTCTTATCCACATTCATGCCATCCAAACTGATTTAAACCATTTTAAAATGACAAATACTATATGTTCCTCTCATCTGAGGTTCCTAGATTTTATACAGTTACAAAAAATTATTTATATATTTTTATGTGAAAACAGAAATGCATTCTTCTAGGAGAACAAAAGGACAGGGAGATTTGGGGAAAGATGATATTAGACAAATATACTCAATATTCTATATATACCTGTAAGAACAGAATTTAAATGAAAACAAATAATTGCACAGAAAGCATCATGTTCTATGTTTCAGTCTAATCCTCTCAGAACTGTTTGAAATCTCATTCAGGGAGACAAGATTCTCTGCTGGCTGGTGCCCTTTTCTTCTTCCAGCATGAGATTCCTTGAGAAATTCCCATTTCTTTGGGGTCCATAGTTTTAGTCATCTGTTAGTCAATTGAAAGACACACCTGTCTCTTTTCAATATCTTCATCTCTTCCACGCTGGTTATGGCCCCTCACATAAACGATTGCAGTAAGCTCACTCAGTTGAAACGAACGTTGAGAAAGAAGTCCCCCTAGGCTGTACTATTCTATCTGTATATGATCCTCTATGGGAGGTTAATTTTAGGGATGAGGAAAAAATGAAGAACTAAGTAGCGCTAATGTTTCCACAACTCTGAAAACAATAAACACTATTGATTTCTACGCATTAATGGGGAAATCTTATGATACATACATAGATAATTTTTCATTAATGCAATTATGTTTAAAAATTCTTGATGCAATTTTCATGTTGAAATTTTAGGAATCTTAGATAACTAGGACAATTAATAATTGGTAAAATGTTTATTCTTACAGGTTTTAAGTTCTCTCCTGTTTGTTGTGATATGGAGGCTCCAGCTGGTTCTACTCAAGGCAAGTGTTTTGAAATATTTGACTAAAAGTTACTTTTACCTCAATCAATAATGACACCTACGTAGTCTGAAAAATGAATATTTACCAAATAACGAGTAACTCATAAGGCTAAACAAATGAAATTATCAGAGATTAATCTAGTGACCATGCGCCGACTTGTTTTTCTCCTTTAATTGAGTGTATTTTGCTTATGAAGAGAAGCTGGAAGACAGGTAGCGATAAGGATAATACATGCTTTCATGAAAAATATTGATTTGTCTTGGGGTTCGTGCCTAAATACAATAGCTACCTTTTTGTTCTTGTTCTTGTTTTGTTATTTTGTTTTGGATTTAGAATAGCTTTAGCTTTACCGTGATGTAAATCTGATACTGTCATAACTTTCTCGTGCTGCCTAGCAGATAGCCTTCGTCCTTCTCTCAAGATGCTGCTATCTTGGCCTTACAATTGCATTTTGTTCATGTCATCAATTACAAATACCTCATTAAAAAAGAAAAAAAGCAAAAGGCAGGTCATCATTTAATGAAGATTTTTGTTTTTGCAATTCTTCAGGAAGGGGGCATTGATGACTATGTGTGTTTTCATGTTGTACTCATTGAATTTGTTCCTTTAAAGAATGATATGGAGAACAACATTTATAAATGATTTGCATGACTCAGTTTGTACCTTGTGGTAGGTCCTTTCATCAAACCACACTTATTAAAAATTATGCGGTAGTTAGAATATAAAAACTTAGAATAGGAATTAAAACATAGACAGTAGTAATATTTATTATTGTTGTTGGATCAACATTTCTAAATCCCCAAACATATCATTATATGATGCTCTCATTTCAGTCTCAGACCTATTACCTCTATTTCATTATTTCTTTTGTAACATAATCTTATCATTTCTCCCTTCCCTTTCCTCCTCCTGCCCTTTTTGCAAGAGGGTTAAACAACAATGTATAAACCCATTTTATAGTAGAATATCTTCTAATCCTTTCATCTCTCCTAAATCATATTTTATATGATGTGAAACTCAACAGCTCTACTTAGAGTCCTGTGTGTCTTACTCTGACTCCTACTATTTCCAATAAGGAGTATATAACTCGAGATCTCATCTATAACATATAATAAGGTTCAACTAGTGTAGAAACTGCAATTCTTCTCAAATGATAATCATCAGGGCTGGCCTATATTCAGTATTTTCTTAGAGAAAGCTTGAGAGTGTAAATGCTTTTCTTTTCCTAAATGTATGTTAATTTAAATGAAAAAAAATTCAACTCATTTAACTTTGTGTTTGCATGTAAATGGAGCTATTTATTTCCCACTGATATCATCCATTCATGAAAACATGCCTAGCAGAGTATTTACCTCATTAACTCATTAACTTGAATTTATATATTCTATATTTGAAACATAAAAATCCATAAAATATTTTTGATTTATAGGTTTCAGCAGTTCAGATTCCATGCCATCCTATTTCATGGTTCAGTTAGTCTCAGTGACACTTTATTTTGTTTCTGACTTCCTATACTTTTTGTTCTTTTTCCAATTATTGATGACACTATAGAAACAATATTATGAAGCACCTAAGGATGATTAAAGTTTCACTACTGTGAATGAGGCATACAAGCTTAGATAAAGGAAATTGTTAATTCAGGTGAGTTAATCAACCCGAAAAGAATGAATCTAAGAAGTGAAATCAAAGATGTTTATGGCTCTGTCCATCACATGCGTCCTGTACGACTTAGTGGTACTTAGTGGTTCTACTTACATTTTCAGAATATTGCCTAAACAGATTGATTTCTTTCATTTAATCAATAGACTAAGTCTTAAAAAAATGTTTTACCCTTTTATCAACCATGTTTTGTTGCTGTAAATTTAATTTAAATCTGTAACATGTTTTAACCCCTAAAGAATTAAACTAAAACTTAACTTGACTGTTGGAATATTTGAACAAGGAGGGAAAATAACAGGTAACAAAAATGGATACATTTTTCTAGGTTTTCACAGAACTATCAGTATATTATTATGTTTTTCAGTCCTGCCCTTTTGTCCCCAGACAATCCTTTAACACCTATCAATACTTAATTTTCTATTAAGAAAAAAGCATATGCATTAGCTAGCTGAACCTTGAGGCCTGAGTACCAGTTTGATATCATACTTCTTTCATTATACCCTTCTCACACTCCCTTTTCAGCCTACTGTTAGGGCCTGAGTCCTAGACTGTCATACCTCACAAAAGGTGTTATCAAGCACTAGACTAGATAGAAATGTGGCCTGCTTTATTCACTGTTAAAGCTTCGATACCTAGCCACAGCATATAGAGCATAATTACAAAGTAGACAAAGAAGAATCATGTCATGTTCTGAGGTTTGGGAGCTTTAAAGCAAGAGATAATATATTTTCATGAATTATCTATGATCTCTTTGAAGGATAGAAGTGCTACATCGAATCAGGCCTGTGGTTATCTAACAAGCAACTTTGCCTCTGAAAAATGATCACTTCATTTCATCATTTCTTGGAACTATCTAACAATACTACTTTATATTAGTCAATATTCTCTGAAGGAACAGCTTATACAATGAATATTCATATATTAAACAGGGGATTTATTAGAGTTGTGAACAGGCGGCTACCTGGTTAGGCCAAATCTATTTCCTGACTGAAGGGCCAAGAATCTTGTAGTTGTTTAATCTTTGATACTGGATGTCTCAGCAGTCTCAACCTGGTGTTAGAATCCTGAAGGATTCCTATAGAACTGCTCCTCAGTCAATGTTAGAATCCTGAAGAAGTAAGTCCTGATACCAGGGAAGGAATGCCTCAGTAAAAGGATAGCTGAATTTACCAGTGAGAGTGGGGACAAGATGACCAAAATCAAAAGCTTCCTTCTTCTATGTCATTGTATGTGCCCTGTCGCCACAAGATATGGCCCAGATTTAAGGTTTATCTTCGCAACTCAAATGACCCAAGCAAGAAAGTTCTTCATAAGTGTTCCCAGCTGTTTGGGTTATAGTTGAGTCTGGATGTCGATAAGTTAAAAACTATGATTAGACATCTTAATTCTACCACTTGCCAACTTGAATATAAGCACATCTCCTTATATCATGCTTGATTTCCAAATGAAAACAAAAACCACATCATAGTTATAATTTCTGCAACTGGTCACATGACTTTAGCTGGTATTTCTAACTACTTTCTTCTTCTACCCATTCTGTATTTTTTCCACCCACAGCAACCTACAGATTAATAAAAACCCAGAAGCAGATATTGGGGATAAACCTAAAGATCAGGAAAGGAAAGCAGCGGAGCCACTAGAGAGCTCTTACCTCTGAGAAATCCTCAGACTGAAAGAGAATTAGTTCCTGTCTCATCCCACTTTATATTCCTCTCTAGTGCTAGGATTCAAGGCATATGACTCCCTAGTATTGGGATTAAAGGTGTGGGACACCACTGCCTGGCTGCTAGTGGCTTAGTTTTCAAGTATTCAGACAAGCTTTATTTATTAAAATACAAGCGAAATATCCCTATAGCAAGCACCTCAGCTGCTCTTAGTACTTTTCCAGGAGGAATGGCCCTATTATTTTATTCCTGAAGGATCTGTGCTCTTTGTAATACTGTCAAGATTGGGTTGTTATAGTTTCATATTAACTTTAACCACAAAATGTGATAGCAACAAGAGATTCTCTAACAGGTCTCCTGCACTCCAAGTATTATCTTTCTCACCTCTGTTATGGAGAAGTGAATCAATTTCCACCTGGAAGCCTAAACCAATCACCCCTTTATAATACTACTATTCCTATTTTAGCCTGTTGACTTATGGTCATCAGAAGTCCAAAGGGGCCAGTCAGAAATCTGAGCTTCTAGCTCAGATTTTATGTTTACTGGTAGTAGCATCCCCCCACTTGGAACCAATATTTCTGTCCCAATAGAACTTAATGTTATGGGAACAGGAAGCAAAAATTTTCCTAATGGGTCATTATGGGTGATAGTGAGTGGATCCATACCCATTTATACCACTTCATTCCTGGACCCCATATATTCTGGCTCTGAGAAATACATTACCATATATTCAGGTTAATTCTCCCTAATTGTAACACTGTCTTCAAATGCCATTCTACCTTTCTGTGAAGTCAACTGTTTGAGAATGGTGGGCAATATAATAAGACCAGTGACTTCCTTGAGAGCAGACAAGTTGTCACCCTTCTAGGCCTATGAATTTAGCTGGTCAGGGGCGATTCTGTGTAGAATGTTATAACAGTAGATAAGGCACTCTGAGTTCCTGTATGGTAGGTTTGTCAGAATAATCATGTGTAAGCAAGGCAAATCCATAAGCAAAATAAACAAAGATTCTAGGAAGTTCAAAGCACTTGCCTTTCCACATTGGAAGTAGGCCAAAATAGTCAATCTGTTACCTGGTAGCTGGAAGGTCATCCCTGGGAATGGTATCATATTGGAAGGTCAGTGTTAGTCCCTATTTTTGGCAGATCTGGCACTCAGCAACAACTACAGCCAGTTCACCTTGGTGTGTGGAAACCCATTTGTCAACCCCATGTACAACCTCTATTTCCATCATAATGACCTCTGTTCATGGGCCTATTGACAGCGTGGAATGCTGTTGAGTGATGCTGACCATCCACAAAACAGGTCATCCTATCCTGTTGTTTAGCGACCTCTACTGAAGTTACCTTTTAATGAGCATTTCCGTACTATACAAGCCTCTTTACATACATTTAGAAAGATCTATTCAAGTACTTGTTCCCCAATATTTTTTTCGTAAATTTTCTAATCATGTTCTTTCCAAATCCCTGACCATCCAGCCAATCCACTGGCTACTGCACATGAATCAGCAGACAACTGGAAATATGGACATCACTCCATCCAGGAAAAATGCACAATCTTGTGTACTATTTCTACCCACAATGAAGATTTCTCTTCACTGATGTCTTTCAGGCTTGTTACAGAAAGGAGCTGTAATGACGCAGCTGTCCACTTCTGGGTATTCTTTGCATAGCATGC